CCTCCCCCCTTCCCCTCGCCCCCCCCACACCCCCCCCCCCCCCCCCCCCCCCGCCGCCGCCCCCCCCCCACCCCCCCCCCCGCCCCCCCCACCCCCCCAGCCCCCCCCCCCCCCCCCCCCCCCCCCCCCCCCCCCCCCCCCCCCCCGCCCCTCCCCTCCCCCCGCCCCCTCCCCCGCCCCCCCCGCCCGCCCCCTGCCCCCCCCCCTCCCTCCCCCCCCCCCCCCCCCCCCCCCCCCCAATCCCCCCCACCCCCGACCCGCCGGCGAGGTCCCGCAGTCAATGCCGCCCGGCATGGCAGGATACCTTCACTCAATGCCTGTCCAATGACTGACTCCCCCACCCCAACCAGACGTTCAGCATGGCAATACAATAAGCACCCACGGTCCCCCCCTCGGGCTTTTCAGCCACCACCCGCTCCCCCCACATACCCAGCGACAGCCCAGTGCATAGAGTCACCCCGCACACCGGGGTTTTTTTTTTTTTTTCCCCCCCCCCCCCCCCCCCCCTTTTTTTTTTCCCCGGGAAAACCCCCCCCCGGGTCGGCCCGGGGGGGGGAAAAAAAAAAAAAAAAAAAAAAAGGGGGGGGCCAATGGGGAAAAATTTTTTTAAACCCCCCCGAAAATTTTTAAACCCAAAAAATTAAAAAAAACCCAGGGGGGGGGTTTTTTTTTTTTTTTTTGGGGGGTTTTACCCCCCCGGGGGGGGGGCCCCCCCCCCCCAAAAAATACCCGGGGGGGGGAAAAATTTTTTTTGGGGGGGGGGCCCCCCCCCCCCGGGGGGAAAAAGGGGGGCCCAAAAAAAGGGGGGCTTTGCATTTTTGGGGGGGGCCCCCCCCCCCCAAAATTCCTTTTCCCGGGTCAAAAAAGGCCCCCTTTTTTAAATTTTAAAACCCCCCCTGGATTTGCGGGGGTTGGAAAATTATGGGAAAAAAACTTTTTTTAAAAAAAGTACCCCGGGAAAAGGGGGGGCCCCTCCATTTTTTCAATGGGGAAAAAAGGGCCCCCCCCCCCGGAGTAAAACAGCACTGGTAGGGGCTTTTTTCTGGAAAAAATCATAACATACCTGTAAAAACCTTGCTACATAATAGTGGGTTTTATATCCCTATTTTATGTCAAACCAGGGGGTGAAGCGAGGTAGGGGGGTCCCACTCACTCAGGGCGCATCCCGTGACATATACAGTCACTGGGCCCTAGGGTCTTCTATTTTAACCCCGTCGAGGGAAATTTTAAAAACTCACAAAGGGCTATAAAACCATGTAAGGGGATCAGCCTATGCTGAAAAATGAGGATATGTTGGGTTTTTAAATACCTACTTCCTCTCAGTTTTCCCCAGGAAAATACTAGCGATTTTCCCTAAAAATAATAAAATTACGTAGTACGGTTTGATGTTAAACTACGATTGTAAATAACTATTGACGGGGCCTCAGAAAAAGAAAACCCAAAAAAACTAAAAACCCCCGGGTCCTGATGAATTTTTTGAAAGGGGTGTTAAAGGAATGTAAAGGGAAACCCTTAGCAAATTTTGGGGTAATTTTTTTTAACATATAATTTTCCCCCCAACCCTGGCATAGTCCCTGTAAGGGAAAATGGAAAATTAAAAAACCCTTTTTTAAAAAGGGCAGGGGGGACAGGTCCTTGGCTTCGAAATAGACCAAAACCCTTACCTCCATATTAAAAAAATTTTAGGGAAAATCAAAAATTGCCAAGAAAATTCGTACCTTTTGAAGGCACAGATTGTTTAATGATTCTCAACACGGTTTTAAAACAAAGGGGCTTTCCCCGTCTTAAATTTACAAATTTTTTTCACTAAAAATCACATTTAATGAATAGGGATATTGTGTATATGGCCCTTCGTAAGGTTTCGATGGGTTTTCCACCCCCAGGCTATTGAGGAAATTAGGGCACAGGGAAATAGGGGGGGAAAATTTTTTTCCTGGTTTAGGGGCCCATGGCTGAAAGCAAGTGTAAAGGGCCCTTACTAAAGCCCTGTAAAAAACTTAAAACCGGGTATTCCCAAAGGGCGGCTCCTCCCCCGAGGAAAATTAGTGTTAAAAAAAAAGAATAAAAACCAGACAAAATAAACACTTTTTATTTAAAAAATTTTAAAATATAAAAAAACTTAAAAATTTATAAAATTTTAATCCTCCCATTAAAGAAAATGAAAAATGAAAAATATAAATGAAAAATGAATTCAACGCTAATATATTTTGGGTTTTCTGGTGTTGGTGAAAATGTGTTGTTGAAATCGTGGGCCGTTGTTGGATTTTTTTGGGGGGGGGGTCCGGTGTTGGTGACCACCACTGGTTTTTTTTCGAAGGTATCCCGTGAGTAGTATCCGGGATGACAGGAAAGCGGGTTTTCCTTTCCCGCTGAAATAAATGTGGGGGTTACGTCCTGAAATTTTTTTTTCAGGGGGCACAGGTAATTAAATCCAAAAGGGGCGTCTCCAGGACATTAGTCCTCTCCTGTTCTTCCCCGTTGATTGACAGGGGACCCCTCCCCTTTTCAAACCAAGAGTAGTGTTGGGGGGGCGTGGTCGAGGGGATTTACTGTTTGGGCCAAGGCCCCCCACTCACCTTTCGGAGGGGGGGGGGGGGAAGGGGGTAGCGGGGCTAGACTGACCCTACCTTAACAAGCAGCCGGGAGTCAAACAAACCCATTTAGGGAGGGGAAAAAAAGGCGGGAAAAACTGGAGCTTTTAAATTACCCTACCTTAACCCAGTAGCCAGCAATGAAACTAACACTTTCGGGGGGGGGGGAAGGGAAAAAACGGGAGCTTGGGCTTTCCCTACCTTAACTATTTTGCTGGGGAAAAAAACAGATTATCGTGGCCCTCTATAAAACATGCCCCAAACCTAAGTTTACCCCTTTGTCTTTATCTACCAATAAAAAAGTTCAACAAACTAATGTCAAATTTTAACCCCAAAATTTAATCTAGTAATTCATATTTTTTCTTTTTTTTTTTTAATGTTTTTCTTATTACCAAAGCCCCCTTTTATACAAAGTTAAAGGGAAAGACCCCTGTTTCATTTACACCGGTTTCCCCAAACTTAACCCGCTACACCCTCTCCTCATTTTCCCCCCTTTTTCATTTAGGTTTCCCCCCCTTGGGAAAATTGTCCACGGGTCAAAAATTTTCAAACTTTTTTTTTTTTATTCTTATTTATAAAATAGTAGAGAATATTTTTCTGAATGTAATAAAACAAAAAGTATGAAATTTGAAGGAAAATTTATGAAATTCGCTATCCCGATTTTTGTTGCATCAATGATGTTTATGCATCGGCGATTTTGCCCATTTTGGCCATTTACATTATTCCAGTCAACCAAATTCTTAGTTAGCCCTTTGACTGTCGAGGTCGTATATATACATCTTACGAGGTACCGTGTTTGACGTATATATACTCATAAAAATGTATATATACTCATAAAATGCCGGGAACAATGGGCTAGTAACCCCTTTTCCTGTAAAGATTACTAAAAAGAATAAGAAGAAGAAAATTGTCAAAGTGGGAAGTCTGAATGTGCGTGGATGTTGTGCAAATGATAAGAAAGAGATGATTGTGGATGTTATGAATAAGAAGAAACTGGATGTCCTGGCTTTAAGTGAAACAAAGCTGAAGGGGGTGGGAGAGTTTCAATGGAGAGGAATAAATGGGATTAGGTCAGGGTTTCAAATAGAGTTAGAGCTAAAGAAGGAGTAGCAATAATGTTGAAGGATAAGCTATGGCAGGAAAAGAGGGATTACAAATGTATAAATTCAAGGATTATGTGGAGTAAATAAAGATTGGATGTGAAAGTGGGTTATAGTAAGCGTGTATGCACCTGGAGAAAAGAGAAGTGTAGAGGAGAGAGAGAGATTCTGGAAATGTTGAGTGAATGCGTGGGGAGTTTGAATCAAGTGTGAGAGTAATGTTGGTTGGGGATTTCAATGCTAAAGTGGGTAAAAATGTTATGGAGGGAGTAGTAGGTAAATTTGGGGTGCCAGGGGTAAAATGTAAATGGGGAGCCTTTAATTGAGCTATGTGTAGAAAGAAATTTGGTAATAAGTAATACATATTTATGAAAAAGAGGATAAATAAATATACAAGGTATGATGATAGCACGTAATGAAAGTAGTTTATTAGATTATGTATTGGTGGATAAAAGGTTGATGGGTAGGCTCCAGGATGTACATGTTTATAGAGGGGCAACTGATATATCGGATCATTATTTAGTTGTAGCTACAGTTAGAGTAAGAGGTAGATGGGAAAAGAGGAAAGTGACAACAACAAGTAAGAGGGAGGTGAAAGTGTATAAACTAAGGGAGGAGGAAGTTCGGGCGAGATATAAGCGACTATTGGCAGAAAGGTGGGCTAGTGCAGAGATGAGTAGTGGGGGGTTGAAGAGGGTTGGAATAGTTTTAAAAATGCAGTATTAGAATGTGGGGCAGAAGTTTGTGGTTATAGGAGGTGGGGGCAGGAGGAAAGAGGAGTGACTTGTGGTGTTGAGAAATGGCATTACCAGCTAAGTTTAAAGAGTTTGTACGTAACTTAGAAAGACAGCTCATTGTCTGCACAGCCGCCCCTGCAGACGAGGTCTTGAGAAGCTGTCGAAGTCATCTCTCAACGGGCTGTAAAGAGTTATAATTTGTAAGATTATAAATTACCCCTAGGGGGTGTTATGTCAGCATATTTCATTCACTGATGGCTGACAATTTACATACTTGTTTGGACTCAAAAGTCCGCACCTTACTGCCGACTATAGGTTGATTACAAACTCCTTGCAACTCAAGAACTGCGCAGTCCCCCGTACTACAAGAAATTCGTAACCTACATTGCTCTTGTAGCGTGAACTATGGTGTTCTTCACACCTTCGACAGATATCGGTGACTTGATAGAAGCTGAAGTGTCCTTGGATGTCCACGTCTTCCATAGTCCAGGAATACGCACACTGGTACTCTATGTTCCACAAGATTTGTCTTTATTGTTC